AATGTAAAGATATGAATATGAAGACCGCATGGCACTATGATAAACACGATATAGAAATGAAAGAAAGTTATAGTGCTTAGAAGGAGGCAATTCCGGGAGAAGTCCCTTAGGAATAAATTCGGAAAAATTAATTTCCGACCTCGCTGGGATTCGAACCCACGACCTTCGGATTTGTACACCGATGCTCTACCAGCTGAGCTACAAGGCCAGACTGGGAGCAGGTCGGGGTGAAATAGATGTTAAGGTTGCGGTAATAGAATAATGTAAAGATATGAATATGAAGACCGCATGGCACTATGATAAACACGATATAGAAATGAAAGAAAGTTATAGTGCTTAGAAGGAGGCAATTCCGGGAGAAGTCCCTTAGGAATAAATTCGGAAAAATTAATTTCCGACCTCGCTGGGATTCGAACCCACGACCTTCGGATTTGTACACCGATGCTCTACCAGCTGAGCTACAAGGCCAGACTGGGAGCAGGTCGGGGTGAAATAGATGTTAAGGTTGCGGTAATAGAATAATGTAAAGATATGAATATGAAGACCGCATGGCACTATGATAAACACGATATAGAAATGAAAGAAAGTTATAGTGCTTAGAAGGAGGCAATTCCGGGAGAAGTCCCTTAGGAATAAATTCGGAAAAATTAATTTCCGACCTCGTTACTTTAGTGAAACTGGAGTTTGCTACAAGATCAAATGATACAAAAATTCAGGATGCCAGAGGGTTGTTCCAGGGCTTCCAAAACCCCCTTCCTTTTCAGACAAAGTCTTTGAAATATGACACTTTATTTTTCTAAATAACATATTTCTGGACACTCCTAACAGTTTGTTTGTGTGAATCCAAAAAAAAAACATTTGACTGTACAATTTTCAAATGCCTTCTTGTTATGTACTGCAAGTCTTGAAATCCCAAAACAAAGCTCGTCCCCCCTTCACCTCCCCTTCTCGAAACTCCTGCACACGCCCCTAGGATTAGCAAATTAACAACAAACTCGTCCAGACAGCCAACCACGGTTAAAACTGGAAATGGAAAGGAAACCAGGTTGCTATGTATTTTATCAGGAAATTTGTTTATGTTATTTCTTTGGGTAATGCTGGAAAGCTTGAGTTGTCAGCCTTACAGCGACCTTAGAAGAAATACTTTATTCTTGGCTCCCTTTTGACTCTTTAATGGTACAGACTACCAATAAGAGCTTCGACAGGGCCTTTTATATTAAATGATGTAAAATAATCCATTAGAAATGTTATTGGTTAAAAATGATAGTAGGAAACTTCACAATATTCTATTCGAGTACAAACAATAAAAGCATATTATAAAATATCTTTCATATTACGCGCGCTCTGATTGGCCAAAAAGCCGTGTTTGATGAGAGCATAATACACGCTTGCATCATTTTTTCTCAGCTTTTTTATTCCTTAAAAACAAAATAATTCACTAAATGGTCAAGAAAGAATGTCACTATACTATACACACTAATATGCAGTGAAGCAGATTTCACATCGCTGTGCAAATGCATCTGTCGTAGCTTACCTGCTGAGATGCACATTGCACCACTTGGATACATTTTGACACACTCAACAGGAGCTCCATGGTCAAGAGTGATAACTGATTTATCGCAGCGTTTATCCCACATACGAACAGTGTGATCATATGAACCTAAAACCACAACAAATCAAAACTCAAATCTACATGCACCAAGTTGCAAACAATGTCAAACTGTTTTCAGTTCTGATTGTGGTGCTTTTCATGTGTCACATGAGGTACAATAAAGAGCAGATTTCGTATGACTGTGCAAAAAAACATGGTACTTTCATGCTGTGACCGTACCGTGCCATAGCGGTGATGTATTGTTAAATCTTTATTTTTATTTGGAATCCTAGAAGGCGAGGTTCCGTGACCGTGCTGTGTCGTGTCCATGTTGTCGTCCGTGCCGTTGCACAGTCATACGAAATCTGCTCTATAAGAACCAAGTGGATTAAGAACACCCAGTCCTTATTTTAGGAAATAAAGTACCATTTATATAAGAACACATTCAGCCTGAAAAATAAAAGTTGTTCTTATGGAAACATATCAAAGATCAACACTACTTTTCATTGCACACATTTATAATTCCACCTCAATTATATATGTAACAAAATATTAAACAAAATAAAAACCTGTACTTGTTACATCAATTGATTTCATCTATTGGTAGCCTAGGATGTTCCTTATTTTTAGAAACTTCTTTAAGAACACTAAAGAACACTTAAAGGCTGATTTTGCATATTAGCGAGTTTAAACATCATGTTTACGGCTAACAGCTAACGGCAGAGCTGAACCAATGACCTAAGAATTTCGTGCCTGACCTTGTGCTTTTGGTAGTCATTGGAAAGAGCGAGTGTTCACAATTGTATTACTTAGCAGGTTATTAACTAACGCTTTCAAGTATAGTACTTCATGCATCTGTTTTTTCCTTACCAGTTAGAAATACATCTTCACTTATTTGACTAACATCACCAGTTCTTATGTAATCCTAAAGTCAACCATAAAAAAACAGTAAACAATGATTTTGTAGTTGGGCAAATTTGCACCTAAACAACATAATGGGATTTACTATAAGAATTGGTACTGTGTCATCTAATTTTGTGGTTTAGCCTAAGTTTTCTTTTATTATATTTGATATTGTGCCCAATGATTACTCACCTGTGTGAATGAATTATGTAAAAATTTTATGTACTAGGAGAAGTTTTTTTTAATAAAAAATTGTGGCGGTCTTAGGCTGTCCACGGCATACTCCCAGATGTTCTAAATTGTATGACTATAGAAGTATTATGTTTAAAAAAAATTGAAAAATGTGAAATGGGTTGAAAAAGCAAATAAAGATATTAAAAAAACTAATACTTTTATCAATACTAGCTCAAATTTTTCCAAATTCATTTCATCTTCAACTTATTTTTTTTTTTAATTAAAAAAGGAGTATTAGAAATAAAGGAACGAGAACATATTATGGTCACAATCCTCATAATGGCCTACCTCATGTTCCTTATAAGACACTGTTTCTTGTTCAGTTGATATATCCCAACACTTTATTGTTTTGTCATCACAAGCAGACATTATTGTTAAATTGTCATGAAGAAATTTAGTCACATGGACAGCACTAAGAAGGCAAAACAAAACATTGTTCATATACGAATACATGACCAAATTACATTGACAACTTGGAAAAACTGTCTGTGAATACATGTAGCCCTTTTGCATAAAGCTGTGAAATTGTACTAGATCCGCCATACTAGATGGCAAAATACCCACAGGGATGTTCAAAACAGAGAAAAGTCAAGCTTGACGGGCTGTGTTCCTTTTGTTNCTGTTTTTTCCTTACCAGTTAGAAATACATCTTCACTTATTTGACTAACATCACCAGTTCTTATGTAATCCTAAAGTCAACCATAAAAAAACAGTAAACAATGATTTTAATTGGGCAAAGTTACACCTGAACAACATTAATGGGATTTACTATGTACAGTAAGAATTGTACTGCATCATCTAACTTCGTGGTATATATTTCTTTTATTACAGTATATTGATATTGCCGGCTCAATGATTACTCAGCTGTGTGAATGAATCATGTAAAAAATTTGTACGAGGAGAAGTTTTTTTAAATAAAAAATTGTGGCGGTTGAAGCCTGTCCACTCCCTGTTGTTCTAAATTGTATGACTACAGTGTATAGGATTATTATGTTTTTTTTAAGAAAAATGTGAAATGAGTTGAAAAACGCAAAAACAACCCTTATAATCCTATCAATACTAGTGCTTAGAAGGAGGCAATTCCGGGAGAAAGACCCTTAGGAATAAATTTGGAAAAATTAATTTCCGACCTCGCTGGGATTCGAATCCAGTCATAGTGTCATGTGGTCCTTATATTCCTATCAATAACTAGCCCAAATTTGTCCAAATTCACTTCATCTTTTACTTATTTTTTAATAATAATTAAAAAAAATTAAAAAGGATTATTAGAAATTAAAGGAACAAGAAATCCTCATAATGGCCTACTGTACCTCGTGTTCTTTAAAGGACACTTTTTCTTGTTCAGTTGATATATCCCAACACTTTATTGTTTTGTCATCACAAGCAGACATTATTGTTAAATTATCATGGAGAAATTTAGTCACATGGACAGCACTAAGAAGGCAAAACAAAACATTGTTCATATACGAATACATGACCAAATTACATTGACAACTTGGAAAAACTGTCTGTGAATACATGTAGCCCTTTTGCATAAAGCTGTGAAATTGTACTAGATCCGCCATACTAGATGGCAAAATACTCACAGGGATGTTCAAAACAGAGAAAAGTCAAGCTTGAAGGGACTGTGTTCCATTGTTTTTGAGGTTGTTTACATTCAACTGCCATTCAGTATGGCGGATTTAGTATCATGTGACCGTTTCATGCAAAAGGCCTATTAAAGACATAAGCTGTGTACAACGTTTACTTACTCGTTATGACCTTTAAACTGCCTTAATACGGCTCTACTGTTCAGATCAAACAACTGTAAACAAAAAGACCATTGTGTAAATTTGAATATTATTGTGATACAGCAAATAGATTTTCTTTACTCCACACTATGTACACAATTCAAGGTATCAGTTTTCAGTAAAAATGTCACTTAAACAGGATCATTTATTACAAAAAAAAAAAAAAAAAATTAACGTATAATTTCAGTCTATTGGTACGTGCCAAGCTATACATTAGAGCTGGGTACAACACACATTCGAGCACTTATTGCACAATACTCCAGTTTCGATTTCCCTTTTGTGCAAGTTTAGCTTCAATCAAGCATAAATTTTTATTGTCTTCTTTGTACACAGAGTGTTGGCATTACAATAGGATCTCCACTGAATAAAAAAATATATTACATGCTTTTGAGGAAGGCTGCACAAATAAGATCTCGAAACTGGAGTATCACTGACCTTCTCTTGTTACCAACCTACCTGGACAATACCATCTTCCCCTCCTGCWACTAACAACTGACCATCATTACGAAAACAGCCACTATACGCCACTTGGCTGAACCGTGATATTGTCTTAGTGACTTTGTGTGTGATTGGGCTGTATATCTGTACCCTTGAAGAGCTGGTTATCGCAAAGTCATGAGGTTTTGTGGGATTAAAGTTGATACATGTCACTGCTCCATTCTCCTTGGTTGTTATTGGGAACTGGAAATAAAAGCATACAGAGCATTTTGTTAAGAGAGGTACTAGAAAAGTGAAGGGAGAGTGAAATTCTCATTTCTGCCAAAACCTGAAGTGTCACCACAGGTAATCCAACCAAGCTCATTCATCAGGTCTGAATTTATTGTTCGTTTGGTTTTGAATTGCATCCATCTGTCTCGCATGTTCCGAAAGCTACTACGAAACAGAAGACACTAAACCGGCCAAATTTAAATGGACAATCACTTTGAACTTTTTCTTGTACCACTCCGAAAGGATCGATCAGCTTCATTATAACTTTGATAACATTACTATGCAGTAACTGATTTATACAACAATATCACTATTGACTCACACTGAACTTTTTCCAGTACTTTGTGTCACTAGTTTGTCTTTTTTCTGCTTTTGGATAGCGTTTGACTTGCAATTTATGAAACTCGCCAGCCATCTTTTGTTGGTACACGAGGAGAAATGAACATGCGATACGCTGTAGCAGCGGCAATAGTAGCACAGGGTTCCCAGTTTAGCATTAAAAAAATCATAATTTGAACAAAAACCTGCAAAAAAACTAAAAAAAATTGACTCCGACAGAAAGGAAGTTTTTCATTATTTTTTAGTCCAACGAAATAATTTAAAAAATACTCTATTTTTCAAATCGAATTTTGGCAAAGATCAGTTGAAATTGTAGAGAAATATAGAAAAGAAACAGCTTGTTTTCTTCCAATCTGACATTATCTTATTATTATTTGTGAAAATTTTTCCTTTCGACATTCTCTGTTTTTGCTGTCTCCCAAACTCCGTCTGTAAATGTAACAAAATTAGCCCTACCCTACCCCCGAGGAGAAAATTATCGCGGGCGCACTGCTCAGTTTGTTTTGGCGCGAGAGTGTTTGCCAACTTTGGACAGATTTTTGTTCTGTTTTCTCAAGAAAAACGAAAGATTGAAGAGCTACTATGGATACACCAGGGAAATGAAAAGCAAACAAAGATAGGCATGCATAGCAAATCAGTTGACTTTATACAGAATTTTGCTAACTTTGTGGCTCTTGGACTCGTGGCAGAAAAGATGACGATGGTAGAGTTGACCGTGGACAAAATATCTTTATTTCTTTTTAAGGGAAACTAAACTCTTCGTAAATGTGCGAAGTGAATTAAGAAAAAAATGCAATGATTGTAAGTAATGATAAGCTCCCAGCTAAGCTGATCTTTGGTAAAAAGTAAACTCAATTGTTATGACCAGCTGGAAGCCACAAACAATCGGCCATGAAGAGGTGATACGTGGTCTAATCCACTCAACTAGGCCAAGCATAATTGATTTATCGTGCAGCACTAAAGGATCTGAGGTAAGAATCACAGAATATCACAAATACTCACGTAAAGTTTTATTTTTGCCGGTGGGGTAGTTTTTGTAGGAAATATTGGAATGGACTACTAGTGAACTTGGGAGTGTGGTTGTGAGGAACTATTTTCATGTTTAAACAAAGACGGAGATTAAAGCAGTGAATGATGCAGAGTTTTTATTTTATTATCCTAATTTCTTTACCAC